ATCACTTTGAGGTACTCTGTACAAGACTGACTGAAGCTATGAATCTCTGGCATCACGAATACATTAGGATCCATTTGTTTATGGACCTAAAATTACTTTGGTGCAGTTCAGTTCGTTCAACCAACTAATTTAATCTTTTAAAACTAGTTTTTTGTCATTACCAAAGTATAAAAGGCCAATTTCAGGCATTTAAAAACAGAGGCTTTAGTGCAAGCAATGAACTTTTGATGAGCATTACATTATTATGACTGTGTAGAAATATATTTTCTGTATGACAGGAACACATTCAGACAGGATGGGAGTTCTTCCTCACCTGTGCAGGGCTCTGAAGCTCACCAGGCGCTCCAGGTGGGACTGGGTGTCGGTGTCCCTCTTCCTCACGGAGTGCAGCTGCAATTCTGACGGAGGCAGCACTTCATAATCTGACAGGATGGAGTTCAGAGTATCTGGAGATACAAACTCGAGTCAAACAAACAATAACAGCTTMGCTTCACGAACACCGGTGCGGAACCACAAATCTACGTCCCGACAATGCAAAACACCACCGCTTTCATTTGGTTCAAGCTAACGTTAGCTGAGCTAGCAATAACGCTTACCGAACTCTGGGTTAGGTTTGTGATTAGTAGTAATTCTTGATTTAACCGCGCCGTTTACCCAACAGGGAGCGAGAAGGACAAACAGCAGTATTATCATCGTGTTCGGCCGGCTCCGTTACATTTACGAATGAAAAATATATGTTTCRGCCTGCCTCGGAGGGTACTTCTGAAACAGCGCTACCCGGAAGTGGACCGAGTGGCAAAACATCCGGTTTGGTCAAATCCGACAAGTGACAAAACGTTTCATAATGACATAATGGGACACTTCTGTTCTTTAAATTTAAAGAATTGTGTTAATAAGAAAMTATATTCAACAGATAAGCTACTGTGTTTATTAAAACGTGATTACTTTTTTTTTTGCCGAGAGCGCCTAGACATAGGATGACGCTGTTAGCTAATAAAATTAGCTACTTAATGTTAGCTGTCATATATGAGCAGAACAGTCTATAATCACAGCAATTACTACTATATTATCACTTAGTAGAAATAAACTAGAGAATTTATATTTTCTATTAAACTCATCCTAAATGTCTTTGCTGAAATTTGGTGAAGTAGATACCATTAAGATGTTAAAGGAAGCAGAACACTAGCTAAATGTAGCAAAAGGCTAGTTAAATGTAGCAAAAGGCTAGTTAAATGTAGCAAAAGGCTAGTTAAATGTAGCAAAAGGCTAGCTTGGAGCTACAGTAAAAGCGGCACGTTTGGCTAAAAGCAGAAAAAGGCTCGCTTACATCTAAAAGTAACAAAGTTAGCAAACAGCTTAAGTATCAAAAATGTAGCGAATTTATMTAATTTAATATTTTAAAAGAGCCTTCATTTAAAATTCCTTTTAAAATCCTATTTAACAAACAGCTCAAAAAACAAAAAATTTTCACTGCAGTGCTCTACATTTTCAAACATCGGACATATAATGTGGAAAAAATGAGGACAGAAAACACCGGCTTGGTTTATAAAATGTTTTATTTTTGTTAACATGGTAGATGCACCAGGATTCAAAGTTCCACAAGGCTTTCGGGGACTACAACCAACTCAATTACAAAACAATAGTGGTCCAAATCTGGAGTGACAATCACTGGACAGACTAGAAAATAATACCCTTGCAGAGTGTACAAAACCGCATTGTTCCCATTCCAGTGTAATATCTGAGGAGAAGTGCGAGACGAGAACGTCTTCTCTTCAGCAGAAACGTCAGATAAGAGCCACAAATTTACCCCCAAACAGGTTTCGTGAAAGAGTGGCATCAGAGTGAAATCAGGAAGTGAAAGTTCAACCAATGAGCACTGCTTCTGTGTTATAACCTTTTTTTTTTCAGCCAGCAAGTGCGGCGCACAGGATTTCCCTGCAGTGTKAAAAAACAATACCTCAGCAAATGTAACAGCACCACACAACAGTGTAGATACTTACTACAAAACTACGTGAGGAGAACTAGTTTGATTGATCATGTGATAAAGATTTAGGCTTCCAACTTCGTCGCCTCTAAAATGAACCGGGGGATTTAAACTCAGTATCAGATCCTTTCTGCAGTTCAAACTGCACAAGAGGGAAGGCCYAGAAGAAAAACATCAAGGAACAGATGATTCCTCTTTTTTTTTTTTTTACCAAGTTTTGTCCAAATCTGCTTCGCTGAAAGACTTTTTGATTCTTTATAATAACTCATCAATGGAATGAACTGGTGGAATGATTAGGTGAAGCATTAAGGAATAAAGAATACGTAAAAAGTTTTTTTTTCTTGTTTTCGTTTGTTTGGAGAGAGAACTCCAACAGTCAGGATGTTGGTGCTCTAGTTCTCGGTCTCGCCTGCATCTCCTTCGCCACCTTCACCCTCCTCGGGAGCGTTGTCTGATGTCCATAACTGTGGAGAAAACAAGGTGTTGAATATAAACAAACAATTAGATGAACAGCTCCAGCTGTTTTATGTTTTATAAGATTCAAGTAGTTTCTAAGAGCCTGGGACAACTCGTTGTACGATGGAAGTGACCAAACTGATGATGTGGGAGGATTTTTACCCACATGATTCATGTGGTCGGTGCTTTTTTAGTTTCCAGTTGCCACAAAGTCCTTGCTTTAAGTTTTGAGTTTGTTTCTGTGGTTAAAGCCACCGTCGCTGCACAACATCTGATCTCAGGGCTTCTAAATGACTCGTACAAGTATGAGAAAGGCCCTTAAATGTGACTAAATATATCATCATGTTAGAAGTTATTTTTGCTCTTATGAAACTGCGATCCGACCCAGTTCATCCAGTTTTACTGTCATATGAGAGACTTACTGTCAGGTTGTCTCTGAGGAGCTGCATGATGAGAGTGCTGTCTTTGTACGACTCCTCATGAAGCTGGTCGAGCTCCGCGATGGCGTCATCAAATGCCTGTGAACAAAAGGACAAAATGTTAAAATCATGAAACAGGTAAGTGGTCGACTGTACCGGTTAAGTTTGTAAACCTTTTTAGCCAACTCGCAGGCTTTTTCTGGGGAGTTCAGGATCTCGTAGTAGAAGACGGAGAAGTTAAGGGCCAAACCCAGGCGGATGGGATGTGTGGGGTCCATCTCAGTGGAACTGACGTCAAACGCATCCTGGTATGCTTGTTGTGAGTTTTCAATGGTATCTAAAGGAGAAAAGCAAAGGAGACAGAACATGGTAATGAATGTCTGACTCAAAGTTTGTCAAAACGTTTAATCACATGAATATTCTTCATAACGGGATAACTTGGAAAAAAGAGAAGATTTTAATTGTAATTCCAAAAAAAATCAGAATCTATGTGGCGCATTAAAGCTTCTGGATACCAGCTCACTTCTTTGAAATTGATCCATTTTAACAGATTATTTCTAAAAGCAGTTTATGGCAACAAAGGCCAGTGAGTCTTTATGCTGCATCTGGCCATTAATAAATCACAGATGAAGACGTCCTGCAGAGACATGAGCTTTCAGAAATAAAGTGAAAACAGCAGAACCGAAGGAGACGTGGAGCAGAACTCAGTTGGGTTGACTTGAAGCACAAAGCAGTAAACGAGTGACAGACGTTTGCCTCGTATCATATTTAAAACATGAATCAACACAGCGAAGTGATCATCTTTGTGGTTAAACATTTATTGAAACTAAATGAAGACTTAATGTGTAACAGCGTCAATCTTCTCATGGTAATAAATAGGGGTGTAAGAAAATATCGAATGTTATCGATATTTTCGCGATATAAATATTGCGATATTTCATTTCCCGATACTGTATCGATATTCTAAAGCCCTGTATCGATTTTTTTATTAAGGTTTAAAATGTAAACTTTCCTGCTAGCCATTCATTTTTATGTTGTAGTTCAGCCTCTGACCACTAGTTGGCAGCAGTGAGCCAGCCACTTGGCTCCTCTACCTCTTGAGGTGGAGGCTATTGTTAAGTGTTGGGTGACCATAATGTAAATTAATATTAAAAACTAAAAGCTGCAAAAAATATATTTTCAAACTATTTATTGTCAAATTTAGTCTAATAATTGAAAACATGGATGAAATACGAAACAAATAATATAAAATACATACAAAGCAGAACACAGCTAAATGTATCAAAAGTATGTCTATGTAATATTAGAATTTTCTGAGACAATGAATTTTGGTTTTTCATTTTTTTCCCTGTAAGAGGTTTTTATTTAATAGAATTTTTGGACAAAAAAATTGCAATATATTACCTTGCTTACAGTTTCGCAATATATCGGGATATATCGTATCGTGACCCCTCTGTCATGATATGTATCGTATCGCCACATTCTTGCCAATACACAGCCCTAGTAATAAATTAGTTTTTGAATTGGTCAATATGTCATCGCTAAATTGAGCCACAGAGTTTGGTACTTGTTTGGCTCWGTTGCAACCTCGTTTCACAGGACAAATGTGCATCAGAGGTGGGTTAGCTTGGACACCCCTGGCCGCCTCAGTATACATTCAGAAATCTCATCAACAATAAGTCCTTTAAGTCTCAGCTTGAAGCATTTTGTGAAGGAACCGCAAGACTATTGAAGGCAGACAGTGAGAAAACTACCACTGAACCAAACACATGAAGGCCAGTAGGATGTAATATCAATGAATAAAACTAAATTGTTGTAAACTTACCTGACTTTTTTTCTGCAGAGGCAACTTCAGCGAGGTATCTATAGTAGTCCCCCTTCATCTTTAGATAGAAGACTTTGCTCTCTGGATTTGTGGCATTTCCAATTAAATAATTGTCCAGCAAGGTCTGTGAAAAAAAGTGTCAGGTTAGTTGTTTTTTTAAGAGGATAACAATACTGAGCATTTAGACCCAGAGTAGACGGCCATATATTACAACTACAAAGCTATCCCACAGAGTGTCACATATATAAATGTTATTATCAATCACCCTAGACATGCACTATTTATACAATCGTCACAAAACAGAAGACGTGAAACAAACATCTTTGCAAAGAACAACCTGACTCTAGACAGGTTCCTTAAATCTGACCACAAAGGCTGATTTCTGGGAAGCTCTATTTCTGTCAGCACTGACATATTAACAGTGTTTTTCACAAAGTTTTAATGGCCAAGTCAAGTTAAACATACAAGCACTTAATGCTGATCCCAATGAAGTGACAAAAACATCCATCTGCTGTATGTCTTACACGTTCAGAAGGGCTTTCATTGACGTGAACTTTAGAAACAACTACTGTAGTTTGAAACATCTGGGCCTTTGAAATTTATCTGTAATATTTGAACCTAATCACAAGAATTTTCTGCTAGATTAATAACATACATGTATATTTTCAAAGGTTTCCCAAAAATCCAAAGTTTTAAACAGTAAAAAAAAAAGCCGTAACATTGCAGAAAAGACAAAAAATCACATGTATCAAAGTCACATCCTGAGATTTTAGTCAAGTCTAAGTCATGCAGGCGTTTTAGTGGGCGTGTCAGTTAAACACAATGGATCATCTGTATCAGTCCATCTACGACTTACGCAGGAGTTAACTGATTTCAACAAAAAGTCCTCCAAGAKCGCACTATTTTCTTAATGAAAACTAAGAAAAAAATACAATAGAGTGAGCAAAGTCACGCTTTTATGTCTTACACTCACAGTTACATCAAACACACAAATAGTCTGCTCAAATTATTTTGGGAACTGTTTTTATGATTATTACCATTTTTACTGAAGAGGAAGGGGAGGTTCTGATGCTAAAACCATGATACTGAGTTGAGAGAAATGTTTTGTAGGCACAAACATCTCAGTGGCACAGGAGGCATAACACGGGTCTGACATTACTTTGGATTATGAGGGGTTAACAGTAATATTAATATCCATAACATCAAAATTTATATTACCTATGTGCATCTAAGTATTGTCACAGATTCCTCTCAGCTGAAACTCGTGACTCAAGTGTWAAGCATTTTTCTGTCATGTACACTTTCTCCACGACATGACAGTATTCTCAGGAGCATACCTCAGCAACACATCGTTCATTATCAGAGGAGTAAGTAAACGATTACTAAAAGGAGGATGTTGATTTGATAACTATTACTGATCTGAAAAATCCAGTTAAAAAAACAAAAGGAAAACCAGTCTATATTAGTGGAGTACTTTATATATTCAATGCTTTACACCATATATGCTCCCATATTTTAAAGAGGTCTGATTTTCCAAACATCTTTGGGTTTCTCCTGCGTTCCAAACAGACACACAAATCCATCTGGTTTCAGCTTACTCACGTCGCATTTTCTCTTTTTTTCCCAGCAAAGAGCGCATAGCTGACATGTCAGGCTTCTGAAGACAAGCTAAGGCTTGAGGACCGACACACCCTCTTCTCTTTACAAACCCTCAATCAGCACAGGCTGGCAGTGAGACTGAAAACTGAGTCACATCCAGCCAGGCCAGTGCATAGTCTCGTGTACGCCCAAAACTCCCTGCAGCTTCAATATGTTAGAGGTTCATAAATTATTAAGAGTAATAATAACAAATATGTACAGTTGTACTAAAAAAAACAAGAGGTTAAAGCGATATCACAAACTATTCAATCAAAGCCAAGTCTTGACGTGATGTGTTTAAATCCACTGGTTTCAATAAATGGCTCAGCAGGAGGGCGCTACTTTGGTGAACTGTACAAAACGAAGCTTTAAGGAGAGAGTGAGTCATTTACACATGTGAATTCTTGCACTAGGGCGACCGCGTTAGGCTGCCGTCTGCCAGATGGAACTAAAGCGTCTGAAGGATACACTTTCTCTATGTGTGTGTGTGTGTGCAGAATTAACTAAATCATTTCAGACACACCTTAAAGAGACTCAGCACCGTGACCTCTTGCCAGGTCACGCCCTCAAAAGGTTTCAAGCCTATTGTTCTAAATCCAGATTCCCAAAAAGGCAGGAACAGTCGGAAGACTACATAATACTTCCTTGTCCTGTCTGCCTTCAGAGGTTTTATTTATACAAAAACAGAGGACAGCTCACAGGAAACYGATGCCATTTAACACGTACTTATGAATGAAAAACAACCGTGTGACACCACAAATTCAATGAATCTGCAGGAATTATGCCTCTATATATATATAAAAAAATAGGCTCCAACACATCAAATGCACTCAATTTTTAGTTAACCAATGACTGACTGGTTAAATCAATGGTAGCAAACATAACTCCATTTTTAAAAAAAACTTTAAGGAGGTCTTTATTCAAAAGTCGTACCAAAACACAGTTGCAGATCTCCTCCAGCTCCTTCTCCACCTTCTCCCGGTACTCGGTGACCATCTGCTTCTTCTTCTCGCTGCCACTCCCGTCGGTCTTCATCCCGATGCTGGACATCACCCTCCAGGAGGACCGCCTCGCCCCGACCACGTTCTTGTAGGCGACAGAGAGCAGGTTCCTCTCCTCGTTTGACAGCTCGCCTCCTTTCTCCGTGACCTCCTTCATGCACTCTGCCATGTCATCGTAGCGCTCAGCCTGCTCTGCCAGCTTGGCCTTCTGGATCAGATCCGTTCTATCCATAGTGGTGGTTTGTATTTAATAAGATATCCGGGGGGGTAAAATGACAGTCAAGGGTTGGTAAAGCTGGAAGGGTGGGTGTAGCAGGAGAGCTGTTCTCCAAAAAGCTGCAACAGAAACGCGACAGTGTAAGCTGGTATCCTYATAACCATTTTGTTATGATCTGGTAGTCTAAAATATCAGGTTTATTTGGACATTAGCGTAAAAATACGTCATTTTTACTCCCCTGCTTTGACCATAATCACCAGCTAATAATTCCCCGACTTCAATAAACAGCTCCTCTCTAACCACTGTTGTSTTTAAAAGACTAGTTTGAACATTAAGCATTGATTTATTCGCTACTCCCATGCTGCGGTGTGAACCGCCAACGACGAACAGACGCTAGCTAGCAGCACCAGCCACTCCTTTCAATATGTTAGCGTTTCTCATACACGTCCCTAAACGAGCCAACGCCTTATTCGTTTCATTTCAGTCCAGCGGTAATACATTTAGATTAAAAACAAATGAAATAGCAATAGTTTCGAAACCTACTGAGGTCCAAATTCACTCCTCAAATCGATCCGACTTGGAGAGAAAACCGTAAAGCACAGCAGCAGTGGCAGAGAAAGATCCAACTGAACGTGCTAAAGTAGGAGGGGGCTCATCTAGAGCTGGATGTGGGTTGTCCAATCATACGCCCGGGGAAGTTTTGATCGACAGCACGAGGAGGGAGTTTTGACCAATAGTTCTTTAGCGCGGGGGAAGAAGGCGGGATTCGAGCGGTTGTAGAGCTGCAGTTTGTTGGCGCAGTCCTTTTCTGTCATTAAGAACAAAGAGGAGCGGCACGGGCGGAGTTTATCCTTACAAATCCGATTTAATTTTAGGATTTCTCAATAGCTCATAACATAAATATGGAATAGCGGTTTAAAGCACATCATGAATTAAAACCATGCATTAAAATATAGCTTGTAATTCATCACATTCAGCTGTTTCAATGACTTTAATACATTTGGACCTTTCGCATCGATACAACTTTGATTTGTTAATATCGGCCACGTGGACGAAGAGTGCATTCGCGGGACTTGCCGCCGCACCTGAGCAGGTGAGTGGGTCGAAGCTCCGGCCGCTAATCCGTTTAACAAAGGGAGCGCGACTTCCGCCTGCCCGGCTAGCTGCTTCATCAGCCGGAATAGAAATGGTGCGCAGCCGTAGCCACGGGGTTTCCTCCAATTAGAGCACGGGATGAAGACGTCACTTCGTTGCTATAGTGATTCTCGTCCAATCACCGTTTAGCTCTTACACACTGTAGCGTAGGCGGGTGTGGTCTGGGCTCGAGGTGGACGGTTGRGTTTGCAGTGATGTGTTTTATAGGATTTATGTTCTGCAAAGTAGAATCAGGGTTTGGGTCAGTGCAGGTTAGGTTTCTGCTTCGATATGTTGGTAAACTGGAGTAATGTAGTGGGAAAGTAACATTTATAAAATATTTTTATTTCGCTGGGATTGAAAATGAGCAAAAAAAGATGAATATAGCTTTAAATATTCTGATTTTTTTTTCAGTTACATCCCTGACGTAACCATTTGTAGCTGCATTACTTACAGTCAGTGATGGAAGATGCATAAAAAGCCTAAAGACTTTCTTCAAATTGTTTTGTATTGCGTGTTTATTTCCTGCCTCACTTATCATCAATTCTCCAYTGGACCATTTTCATCTCAATTTGACAGCCTTTGGCTGTTAAAGGTAAACAAAGCATTTACCTTCTGAACCAGCAGATGTAATTTATAAAAACAGTGGACATCCATCATGTGGAAAACTGCATTTCTGCTTGTCTTAAAATAGAAAATACTGTTGTTTTGCTATCAGAATCTCCATTTTCAACACATTACTGTCACTCAATGTTTGATATTAGCTATAATTTTACGTACAAATGTAACTAATAATAAATATTTGTACTCTATAAGCCGACTCATCCCAGTCAAGATTTAATCATTTTAATATTAATTTATGAAAGTTTTCAACTTTTCTACCCCAAAGTTCCTTTTACAGAAATTTAAATTCTTTTTTCTTCTTCTGGCCAACAGAGGGTGCCACTGACACAAACAAGACTTCTCATGGAAAYTGTGTGTYTACAGTATCTGACATAAAGTTGAGCCAAATTGATATCTGTTTTAAAATTTAAAGTCATGTTGGGGAAGACATGCTCAGCCACTACCATGCCAAATTTCAACTCAGTATCTGTAAAATAAATTTAATTGGAGCCCTTTGCGGTAG